ATTCTTGTTTCCACTTACAACTCACTACCAGAATGAGTTTTTAGAATCGCGTTGAATGCAAATGAGAAGACTTATTTCAGGAAGGTTCAACGTACTTCTATACTTTTATAGAGAGTGCTAGGAATCCTCACTAGCGCGTGTTTGCTTTCGGGCTAAGTCACTCTTGAAGCTGTTACCCTCGGCCGTATTATACGTGCCTATTAACATTCGCCAGCTACTTTAATTTAAAGGCCTACAACGTTAGATAACTGTGTCTATCTTCGGCTTAGTCTCGCTTTAGCTAATTATAGTTTAGTTTCTCATTTTCAGTTGAAGCCCGAGTAGAAGCTTCCTCTAAGCCCGAGAAAGGACCGACTATTATTCTCATTTGAGTGAAATAAAGGTATTTTAACCCTTCTCCAGTCTACGTCTTAGTTGTTCTGAACTCAGCGATAAGTCGCTACAGAGTTCACTAGCTTCCTCGACGTTTTATCTTAGACGAAGGCTGAGGAACCCCTACAAGTAGAAGAATGTGTTATAAGTTACTTTTTCTCTCCTTTCCGCATGCATTTGTTGTGTACTTGGAAGCAAACTCGATGCATATTCGAGAAGTCCAGGATTCGGGTCCCGGCGAGGGCTGTGCACATTTTTCACCTCTCCTACTTCAAAATAACCTAATGACTCTGCACTATATTCAGAAGGAAACTGTATTTAAAATTAGCCACATATTAATCATTTTTCTACTTTAAAAAATATTTCTCGTTTTTTTATGTAGATAATTATATTAAAGATGGCGCTGCTTAATGTTATCACGTTTTTCCACAATTAATTTTTAAACTATTAAACGATGAGAAAAAATATCCTTGAAAATAGAAATGAAATTTAAATAATTTAATATAAAAACATCAGAAAACATGTATGCATAGGTATTTTCACAACTGTACCTGGAAAATACAAAAGTTTGTAAACTTTATAAGGTATTTTTCCCGCTTTTCCAGCATGTCTTCGTGGTGTAACCGTTAGCACACTTGGCACTTATTCGAGAGGTCCAGGTTAGAGTTCTCGCGACAGCATTGCTCATTTTTCATGTCTCCTGCTTCACAATAACCTGTCACTATAGTAACGCCCGAACTATAAAAGGTGGTGGATGATGATTCTCTACCACCAGGAATTGGCGACAGGGTCCCCTAATCCCCAGTCGCCCTTTAAAAGGGGAAGTATGTAAGGTATTTCTCCCGCCTTCTTAGCATGTCTTTCTGTTGTTATGGTCAGCACACTCGGCGCGAATTCGAGATGTATGAGTCCCGGGGATGACATTGCTCATTTTTCATGTTTCCTGCTTTGAAATAACCTAATGTCTGGTCAACTTTTCATAATGTTTTTAATGCAAAAGTTCATTTACAGCTTTTCATAAGGTTTCTGGAAACTATTTGACCGATGTTTTACCCCGAGTCTATTATAATTGAAAAACATCCTTCACTTTAATATAGCAACCTTAGTTTCTCGCAGACGTTTTGAGGCAATTTTTCACCAAGGGAAAAGAAAAGAAACTCTGATGATTTTATTTCCTCGTAAAGAAGAAAGATGCGTGTCTGATCGCCCTGAATATCAATAGTTATTCAAAATCTACACTACTGGCTATTAAAACTGCTACGCCAGAAAGGATTGCAAGTAAAAGAATGATATTTATTGGACACATGCATTATAGTGGAAAGAAGTGATTAATTTTACAGGAAATTAGGAATATAGATCTTGCAAAATCAGCACCCAGAGCAGCCACCTCTGGCAGCAATAACACCATTTAGGTATCTGGACATGGAGTCAGAGATTGTATGATATGCAGGAGGACCGCAGTTGAATGCAGCTTCAACACTACGCCATAGTTCTTCGATAGTAGTGAATCGTGATTGGTCGCGTGCCAATCGCTTGGCAACAACCATGGGCCACACTTTTCATATGGTAACAGATTAGGAGATTTTGCTGGCCAAGGTAATTGTCCAACACCTTCTGCATTGAGGAAGGTCAGGACAGTACGATAATATGCAGTTTTGAACTTTCCTGCTGAAACAAAGCGTTAGGGAGGCTTCGAGGAGAGGGCAGAGCCACGGACCTTAACACATCAGAAATAGGTGGCTGCTTCAGTGTGCTCGGAATGCGAACAAGAGGGTATTTAGACGTGTATCCAGTTGCACCTCATATCAGCTGTTGGGCTAACATGACGATGTCCAATTCAAGCTCGCAATGTGCGTTCTTCACGAAATCGCCAGACATGGATGCGGGATTCGTCTGTAAAAGTGGCGTTATGCCATCTAGGTTAGTCGTTGCTCACATCATTGAAGGCGCTTCTTTTGTGACACAGCGTGAAGGGTAGCCGAAGCCATGGTCGCTGTGCTGACAGTCCATCCTGCAAACGTCGTCGAACTGTTCGAGCAGAATCTTGTTGTCTTGCAAACGACTCCATTTCTCGAGACAGGGTTCACTACGTGACTGTATACGATCCCTTGTGGCAATACGAATAAGATATCTTCTCGGCTGTTAGTGATGGAGGGGCAACTGAGATCCTGCAAGACGTTTCTTATGACTGTCTTGAATCTATTGATTCATTATGCTTCAGACAGTCATGGTATCTCGACCGATGCCAGTAGCAGTATTGCGGTACGATAAATCGCAATCGTGGCTGGCTGTAATCCTTTCTCGATGAACATCAGACACGTGCTGATTCCTTACACGAGGCATTGCAACAATGTTTTTAGCCGGAAGCAACCTTCCAATGCAAACTGAGCATGAGAAAACTGCTGTCCAATCTTTGGTTTTATACACATTGTAGGTGTTGGTACTGCCGCCTGTTTTTGTATGAATGTTCTGTAAATCTAATCGTTTGCAAATGAAAGCATGTTCTAGCAAACTAAGGTTGCTTTCTCGCCTAATTCTAAATGGTTGACTGAAATCGAAACCCAAGCTGTTCGGCGACTTCACACCTTACTTGGAGCCATTTCTCTGCCATTTGGCAATTTTTATAATCAAATATTTTTAATCTTATTTGGCGACTTTATTTTAGTTTTAAAAAACTCTATAATAGTTTTTTTTTATATTAATCGGGTTTTTGATCACAATAAGCAATGCGTTTTCCATGTTTTCGTATACATACAGGTGGATAACAATATCCGAATGATCACATTAACCGCAATCACATTAAACGACTTCTACTGTAGTTTACAGATAACATCTATGCACTGCAACATGACACTACATATGGACAGCTTCCCACAACTGCCCCCCTCCCAAAAACGTAAACAATATATTTTCTTACGTTTGTTCGTATACAATACCAATAATACTTACACATAGAGCTTTGCATTTTTTCTTGTTTCTATTTCCCGTTTGTGAAACGTTAAAGAAATTTCACAATGTCGATTACTGTTCTCTCTTCTTCAGGATTTTTCGAAAGTGGTTGATAGCATTGTCGTTGCAAATGTCTGGTTGACCTCGACCTGGTTTGTGTGCTATTCTGCGATCATTATTCCGACATCTTCTCACTTCTTCCAAAGATCTTTAAAAGCATATGTTTGTCGTATTTCTTCTTTTGTCTTCATATATTTCAGGAACAAAATGCATGCTTTTTGGTGTTTTTAATTCAAGATTCTTTAAAGTTCCGACATCGGATCATTCTCATATTCCATTACGAGTTCTTCAGTGCCATCTTTATTCACCTCTAATTCCATATCTCTATCAGCTGATGCAATTTCATTTACAATTTCACGAACATCATCTTTGTTTACCCAATGCAAGACAAACATATTGTTCCGAAATGTCCAGGCGCGGTGAGATAGCTTCCCCGCAAAGCAGTTTTAGGGTTGCCGTAAAATGGCAAAAGAATGCAATGTTGCCACATTTGGCTAGAAATCGCGTATTTGGCGACATGCCACGGACGGATAGAGAACCTTCAGGAATGAACTCTTACCGGTTTAGCCTAGAATGTTCTCAAACACAAGCCGAAAGCTATAAAAACCCTGCAGGTCCGTAGTCAGTCAGTTAGTATCGAGAGTGTGTGTGCCTCGCATAGAGTGCGAGATAGTTAGCTACGAGTTAGTTGGTGTCTCCGTCTAGCGAGTCAGTCCGTGCGGAGTCGATCGAATTGACAGTAGCGCCGAGTGAGTCGTCGAGTTCAACAAAGGAGTCTGTTAGAATATCGCGGGTAGTGCATTGTCGAGAGAGCGTGTTGAGCTCCGGGAACGACTGAACCGAAGAGTCGGGCTCTGTGTGTCGTCAAGCGCATCGTGAGTTGTAGCGTGGAGAGTCTCGAGAGTACGTGGAGTTCCGAGAACGACCGAACAGAGTAGGGAGCTGCACTCTGGTGCTTTGCAGTGAAGCTGTCTACACCGTGATAGCCTGATAACCTGGAGGCTGTGTCGCTGGTCGTGTCAGCGTGTTTATAGTAGTTCATCGACGACTGTAAAATCGTGTTTTTGAGCTGTTCTGACAATACTGCCCAATAAAGAGTGTTTCGATACTTCTTCATTAAGTAGTATTGTCATTATTCATTCCAAATCTACGAACCCCGTAACAGTATCTTACGCCAAGCACAAATCAGCTGAAATCAAATCTTTGAAAGACCTTTGACCGCGCTTTTTTACGAGCCTAATAACTTCAAGGATATCAAATTCTTCTTTTGGATTTGCAAAATCAAAATGCTTTTAAGAAATGGCATAATTCAAACTACCAACGAAACAGGGCTTTAGTATGTTATTTTAAAAAACTCGGAATATCCCCATTATCCATCTACAGTCAACGAGGTGTGGTGAAATTTATGCGTTAAGTTCTTTTGAAAAACTTAGAGGTCAGTAACCATCTTATCAGCTATCGATTAGGATGACTGGATCGTAATATAGTTGATATTTTTATTATGATTTTGTATCAAAATAAAATTTTGTACTTTTGTATCCAAATAAGATAATCATTTGTTTTCTTTGTCATATTGGACCTTTCTTGATAAACATAATTGTAAAATTGATATTTTCCAGGGAATTTGAAAACCTTGCATTAGATCTGCTGGACTACTGCTACAGGTCTGACGTTCATATAAGTCTTCAACTTCTGACGTACGAACTGCAAAACTGGAGCAAGCATACCTGCTTGGGGATAGCTGTAGCTGCCAAGCACAGTGCCTTCTTGGCACACACGGCTTCCCAGATGTTAGTTGCCGATCTATGGATGGGAGGGCTGAGAACGAGGAAACACACTAATCTCAAGGTATGTATCTTGTTGTTGCGTTCTACGGGTTCGTGGGTTTGGAGTGATTGATGACAACACTTGATGACACAGGAGAGTTCCAAAGACACTTTTACGCCCGTTGAAAAACTACGATAAACACGCTGAAACAAACAGCAACACAGCCTTCCGGCCAAAGAATATGTATTGCTAATTAAAAAAGGCTTCACATAAGCAGGCAAAGAATCTCTAAGGAGAAGAAGTAAAGGTTCCCCGGGGCAAATGTGGCTCCGTCAGACCGAAGAGACACATCATGTATATCCCTGAAGCTTACTTTAAAGGAGCAAACCATTCCAAAGCTATCCACCCTCCGTACCTCACTGCGCATGTGCGAAATAACATCACGAGGCAACAAAGCAGCATCAAAGAATGCAGCATGCCGTCGGCCATGTTAGCAGTCTTTTACCATGTTGTTCGAAAACGTTCTTTGTTGTTGTAGTCAGAGGTACTTGGTTTTAGCTATGTGAAATTCTTTTAAAGACTTTTTAAATGTAATGCTGTAAGTGAAATGGTTTTGGCTATTGGGTGAAAACTTTGCTCTTGGTTTTCACAATGGTCATTCCAAATAATTGTCTAAACGTTTTCATGGTAATTTGTTTTTAAAGTTGTTGTCGGATAATTATAATGTATTTCAGTGTTTTCAATTTATTTAGGGGTGCCTTTAATTGTCTTTAAATATTTTTTTTTCTGTTTGTTAGTTATTGCAAATTTTGCTTTTAAAATTTCACTGTAAAATTTTAACTATGCATCCATAAAAATTTATTACGTTTTGTATGGCATGTGTTTCCCCCCCTTTTTAAGTTTACAGAAGAAAAGAATTAAGAAATTTATTTCATTTAAATTTTGTCTTCGTACGGCTCGCTGTTTAAATTGAAAGTAAAAATTGGACAGGATTTCTATAATTCGCCCCAAAATTCCAACTAACATCCTTTTGCTCATAAAACTCCAGAAATGTATGAAAATAAAACATTTTGAGTTATTTCAAAGTAAAAAATTTACTATCTCCTCGAACTGCGCTGTTTAAATTTCACCCTGCGCTGGTGTTTCACTGCATAGCCGTGGCTCTTCGGTACTGCGGCGCAGAGGCGAAACAGGTTTACATTGCGTCTATGGATGCTTTCATTCTTCTCCTTAGAGATTCTTTGTAAGCAGGAGTGGCTCCCTTCGAACGAAAAGGGAAACAGCTGCGCGTCAAATATCTGTCGCCAAAAGGCGCCAAAGCTGATGTCGAAGCTCGAACAGGTTCGACAGTCACGTGCTTATTCACAAAGCCTACAGACCGTTTCTTCTGCTGTTTGCTCCGATTGGTTAAAAGAGGTAGGGTTACAGAATCTAGTGCTTGGCGACTTTTGATTCATCACCTTTACAATTTGTATCTGAGCGTCGTGTACCAAAACGTGAGCATAACCCACCGGAGAAACCGCAGCCCAGAGGTAACGAGCGCGGGAATAATTCTCAGAGTTCTAAGTTGCTAGTTCTATCCCCGGTCGTAGCTTTCATAAACTCTGCTCTATACGGATTTATTTTTTATTTTAACTTTATTGAATGACTTTGTCATTATTTGTCTTTTCGCCTTCGGGTACGGTGTTAAAAATTAAACGCCTTTATTTTCTCTATTTTTGTTAATGTTAATTTTTCTTTGGTTTGTACTCTTTGTAGTAGGTACCAGTAAGCAAGATTACGATCCAAGATCCCGAAAAGCGTTTCAATAGAAATAGCGCATAATGGAATAAAATATAATTTTAGTTATACTTCTTCGTAAAAAGAATAGGTATCCGACACCCTTAAATGTTTAGTGAATGTTTTCATTTGGTTAATTTTTTAATATTCCTCTATTGGTATAAATTAATGCGCTATGAAAATTTACACAACAGACTCTTCCTAAGTGAAATAACGAAAAGGTGCATGTGCTGTCTCCATATAAACACCTTTTCTTGTAAAACAATTACGTACTTTTAAAAGCTTTAAATTCAAATACAAATAAACTATTATTAAGATCAGTAGGTTATTTAAGTATATATCCACACAATTCCTCTAAGCTTTCATTCATAAACTAAAAAAATATCGAATGAAATAAACGCTGTTTCCGTTTGTTTGGCGTTAATTACCACGCCTACAGGGCGATAACTTGCCATTCCAAAAATGACCGCCAAGCAGATGTTTCCTCCAATGAGAGCAGCCCGTAGCGAAATTGTCTGTAGGCATTGTGAATATGCCAGTCACGTTTATCAAGAGTTTGAAGCTATGTGACTCCATTTTTCCCCCTCCATATTGACGGATATAAAATCAGACATCAAACTGCGATGTGGATAATGCAAGTTCAACAACAGTCAGTGAAACTGAAACTTCACCTAATGTTCTTATTCATCTTAATCCGTGTTCCTCAATTTCCTGTACACGTGACGGAGGAGGAAAATCTTGTCCAGGTTCGGTTCGGTACATCACAGAGGGGGATATTCTCGCCAACAGGTTCCGTCGCCAAATCCCTTGGCGAATTTTCCCTCTTCCTTCTAGCGGCGTAGAAGACAAACTGGTTTACATTACGTCTATAGAGCCTTTCCTTCTTTACTTAGACGTTCTTTGTTCAGGCTATCAAGCTATAACGGTGAAGACAACTTCATGGCACTTAATTACAGGTTCCGTCTCGGTTAGTCCCTCTCGAGCTAATGGAACTTAAAGCAATACTACTGAACACAGCACACTCAAGGTATTCTTCCCGATAAATTTACGATTCCGGATTTTCCAATGAACCTAATGTTTCTACAGCACTATTCGTGCATATACACAAGAATATGTGTTACATTTAAAAAAATCTGATGCAGACACTATATGACTTCCTTGTACAGAATATTAAATTACACGCATTTTTTGCTGCATTTCGTTTAAACTTCTATCCTATAATTTAACTTCAAGAGATATAGATTTCTCATTCAATTAATTCGGTTCTCACTTCGCGGTAACTTTCTGAAGTTACTCGTTTTTGAGTTATGCGAGATATATACATACAGATGTCACGAAACCAAATCTCTTCTGAGTCCATTTTAAATATTTTTTGCAACCCGTTTGGGGGAAAAGAGTCCTTTATTCTGCCCTTACATTCAAATGCCACACAGAAACATCGTTAAATTGTATTCGATAACGGTCAAATTGGGTATTTTTGTTGAAATATGACATCCGGAATTTTTCCATGATTATAATACTTCCTTTACTTCGTGCAATTAAGTAAAAAGAAACTGTTTATGAGCAGGTAAATTTGACCATTTCGTTCCTCAGTTCTAGGCCCACCAGCGGCCGAGCGGTAAAAGTCGTTGAACACTGGTAGTTCGGTCCGAGGTTCGAATCCCGCGAACGGGCTGGCTGCATGGGTGTTTTCGTCGTTTTCCCCATGTGTAACGTGTATACGAGCCAGTTTCCCTTAGAAAGTCCTCCACGAAGGCATCCCTCCTCTTAGGCAGATAGCCCTCGTGTGCTTTGCCATAATTAAATACACCAACACCAACACCGTTCCTCAGTTCTATTCGGAGATTCGTGTTTCCTAAATTTGATATTTTATTGAATGATAGAAATTCCTTTCTTCTGATAAGAAGACATTCTGAGCAATCATTCAACTTAAGGTTTTCTGATACGATTGACACTTTCGAAATTACCTTCTCCTGAAATGAATTTACTCTTAATACCTGAATGAATACCCTTATAACTGAATCTTTAATGAAGGAGCATATTTTCTAACGCTATCTACTTGTGTACCCATATAAACATTCAATCATTGATATCAGAGCCCACCAGCGGCCGAGCGGTAAAGTCGCTGAACACTGGTAGTTCGGTCCGAGGTTCGAATCCCGCGAACGGGCTGGCTGCATGGGCGTTTTCGTGGTTTTCCCTATGTGTAACGTGTATACAAGCCAGTTTTCCTTAGAAAGTCCTCCACAAAGGCATCCCTCCCCTTAGGCAGATAGCCCTCGAGGCTTTGCCATAATCACACACACACACACACACGCATTGATATCAGAAGATTGTGCAAGATGTGGAACATGTTCGTTCGATGTGGAAAGTTTGAACAAATGCTTCTTATAACTATTATGTATTTTTATTAGATGTCGCTTGTTTATTAGATTTATTATTTCTTATCCAGGTAATTTTAGGTTTACTTTTCCCTATCACCATCATGTACTTGGAATTCCGGAGTCGAGAAGAACTCCAACTAATGCCCCAGACAGAAGAGGAACACTTTCTGGAAATGGCTGAAATGGACGATGAAACAGAAGGATCCGGAGAAAAAGAGAAAATGGTCAGGCAGACACCGAGACCGCTCAGAGAACAATATGAGGTAAAATTATTCTTAAAATTCGAATGCTCAAAATATCGTTCCCTACCTTATTTTGTGCGAATTAAATGCATTAACTTTTATCTAACAACAATGCGTGCAAACCTGTATTCAAATTTAGAAATTACATTTTGAGGAGATTTAAAAATTTTATGCAGTATTTACTATAACTTCAGGAAAAAATTCGAATATTAAATTTCAATTTGGAAACAAGAAATTTCCAGATTTAAAACAATTATATGGCTGTTTAGAGTTGCTGCTTTAGTAAGAGATACATGATTTATACTAACACCAAAGCATTTTCCTCTTTTAAATTCCGATATACTCCCCAGTGTTTGAAGTCCGATTTCCCAATACTGCTGAAGATTCAAACTTCGCACTTTACTGATGTTGAATAAATTCACAACTATTCATGATTCCCAAACAGAAGGGCATGGACTTTCTTGAAATATAGAGTTCTACTGTAAAGTATATTTTAATTTTATAACAGTTATTTTAATTTATTTCACCTTTCCTGTCTTTCCGAGCTTTAGCTTATAACTCCCCACCAGAAGAGTTTAGAATCACATTAAATGCAAATGAGGAAGAGAATAGTATTTAATGAGGAAGAGAATAGTAATTTTCTACCTTAATGAAAAGTTAATCATTGGAAATCAAACATTTTCTAAAATAACCAAAAATTAGAACCAAAAAATAATTTAAGGTGAATTTTCGGAAAAAACGTTAAGTACTGAATTACGTGCACTAGAATATTTACTCTGTCTGATAGTGTACCCTTATACACATTCAATGGTGTTGATGTCAGAGGATTGTGCAGGATCTGCAACACGTTCGAGCTCACTTTCTTCATATTTATTCTACTCTGTTGCAGGTATTATGCTGGGGACTGATGCATTTGCGTCCTCACGCTTGGTGTACCTTTCGAGATACAAAATGTGAACAAAAAATGGACTTGAAACCATTGACAGTCCTTGACAGAGATTGACAGTCAAGAACAATCAATGTTTCCTGAATCCTTCATCTTACTGTGACATACACATTCAATGGTGTTGATATCAGAGGATATTGTGCAGGATCTGGAACATATACCGAGCTCGCTGTCTTGTTCCTCAGACCACTCTGTTACAAGTTTTTTACTGTGAAGTTACGCATTAACATTATGATACATGGTATATACTTCGAGATACAAAGTTTGGACAAATAAATAGGACTTAAATCCATTGATAGTCCTTAACAGGGATTGACAATTTTCAAGAACAGTCAATGTTTCCTCAATCTGCCATCTTACTGTGCCATACACATTCATAACACGTTGATATCGGAGGATTTTGCAGGATCTGAAACATATTCAAGCTCACTTTTGTTCCTCAGACCACTCTGTTACAAGTATTGTGCTATGAACTGGTGCATTTGAGTCCTGATACACAGTGTATCCTTCGAGATACAAAGTTTGAACAATTAAATGGGCTTAAATCCATTGATAGTTTTTAATAGGTATTGACAAGCAAGAACAATCAATGTTTCTTGAATCTTCCATCTTAGTATGACCCAAATCGTAATATAACCGCTTCATGTTTCATTTTGGACATACGACAGTCATAACCATGTGCCTCTAAAAAAGCTGTCCACAAACAAAATCTTCTAGAAATGGCAGAAACGATGAAGACAGACTAATTTCTGAACAAATACACAGTTTGCGTTGTGTAATCTCCTGGCACTTCGCTCTTGATTAACATTGAAACAGTCATTTAGCACAGGTAATAATTGACAGTGGCCTTGCTATAACTTCACGAACATGTACTTGCTGTATTAACCGAATGAAACATATTAAAATACTAATGAAAAATTAAAGAGGCATGGCTAATTCAGTTTGAAGATTTTTTCCATCGAAACAGCACGTCAGAAGGCTCCCGAACTCTCGACTAGGATTAATATACATAGGATTAATATACACGTTCCAACAGATAGTTTGATAGGCTGTTTCTGCAGATTTAAATGAGTTCAGGAGACTATGAATTCTACCTTAATTTGAGTTGTCGTTGATTTACGTTTATTTTTACTTTAGCTTTCTCACTCTCAAGCTATCTTTTTCAAATAAATTCCTATTGCCTTGGGAATTTATTCTGTTGAACAAAATTCTTCGTTTTTATAAATACGCAAACACATGAATGTAGATATTGTGGCCGTTGATGTATCAGAAAGGAGTTGCTTGCCTTAGTAAGAGATACGTACATGATTTATACGAACGCCAAAGCATTTTCCTCTTTTAAATTCCGATACACCTCCCAGTGTTTGAAATCCGATTGCCCAATACTGCTGAAGATTCAAACTTCTCTCTTTACTTATGAGGTACTTCGTGGTATAGTGGTTCTGCACGCTGGGCCGGTATTCCACAGGTCCATGGTTCGATTCCCGGCGAAGGCGGTTGCATATTTTTCATCTTTTCTGATTTCAAAAATAAACCTAATGACTCTACAAGTGGCGCCCGGACTAAAAGGGTTGTGGATGATGATTCTCCGCACCCAGGATTTGGCAACTGGGTCCCCTAAAACCCTAGTCGCCCTTTAAAAAGAGATGTATATAAAGTATTTCTCCCACTTCCCTAGCGTGCCTTCATGGTGTAACGGTAGCACGCTATGCCTGTATTCCAGAGGTCCGTGGTTCGATTCCCGGCGAAGGCGGTTGCATATTTTTCATCTTTTCTGCTTCCAGTTAACTTAATGACTCTACTAGTGGCGCCCGAACTAAAAGGGTATTGGATGATGATTCTCCACACCCAGGATTTGTCGACTAGGTCCCCTAAAACCCTAGTCGCCCTTTAAAAAGGGGAGTATATAAGGTATTTCTCCCACTTCCCTAGCGTGCCTTCGTGGTGTAGCGGTAGCACGCTGGGCCTGTATTCCAGAGGTCCGTGGTTCGATTCGCGGCAAAGGCGTTACTAATTTTTCCTCTCTCTGGCTCCAAAAAAAATACCTAATGTCTCTACAGTGGCGCCCGGACTAAAATGTGGTGTGGATGATGATTCTCCACACCCAGGATTTGGGGATTGGGTCCCCTAAAAACCCCTGTCGCCCTTGAAAAAGGGGAGTATATAAGGTATTTCTCCCACTTTCCTAGCGTGCCTTCGTGGTGTAATGGTTCTGCACGCTGGGCCGGTATTCCAGAGGTCCGTGGTTCGATTCCCGGCGAAGGCGGTGGCTAATTTTTAATCCTCTCCAGCTTCCAAAAAATCCAATTGTCTCTACATACTGATGGTGAATAAACTCACAACTGTTCATAATTCCCAAACAGAAGTGCATAGACTGCCCTGAAATATAGAGTTCTACTGTAAAATATATTTTAATCTTATAACAGTTATTTTAATTTAGTTCGCCTTTCCTGTCTTTCCGAGCTTCAGCTTACAACTCCCCACCAGAACGAGATTTTAGAATCACGTTAAATGCAAATGAGGAAGAGAATAGTATTTAAGTCAAGTGACTTTGCCAGAGGCAGTGAGGATTCCCAAGTAGCGCGCGTTAGCATTTGGGCTACATCTCTCTAAAAGCCCACCAGTGACCGAGCGGTAAAGTCACTGAACACTGGTAGTTCGGTCCGAGGCTCGAATCCCGCAAACGGGCTGGCTGCATGGGTGTTTTGGTGGTTTTCCCCATGTGTAAAGTGTATACGAGCCAGTTTTCCTTTTAGTGTGCTTTGCCATAATTAAATACACCACCACCACCACCACCACATCTCTCTAAGATGATACTGCTCTAGGCCGTATTACGTGCCTTTTAATAGTTCGCTGGCTAATTTAAGATTACGGACGAACTAGTTTAGAATTATGTTAGCTCCGCTAAATCTCTTTACTCAGTCATAAATTAGTTATCTTACATTTTGAGTTGAAGCCCAAGTGGAGGCTTTGCTGTATGCCCTGAGAAAGGAACCGACTGTTAATCTTTATTTGGAGTAAACAAAGGGTAATTAAAACCTTCGTGAGTTTACGTTTCTATTCTTTGATATAAGTTATTATTCTCTTAGTAGTCATTAGGTTCCTCAACACTTAATTTGACAGAATTTATTCTGTCAAATTAACTTTCCTCCTTTTAAGTCCTCCCTTTCCTCACCTTTCAAGTGAGGAACTCTATATTATATTCACCATGTTTCAATTTTATTGTGCAAGCCCTGTAAGTACAAACAGAATACGATGTAAACGTATTTAAACAGAAACACAAAAATAAAATCTTGCAGCTTAAAATACATCCATAAAGAAATGTTGGTAAGAAATGGACCTAACTGTAGTTAAATTCACAGAATGTTTGAAATAAAGTAAATCTGAGAAAATAAATGAAATTTAATACTTCTAATGAATAACAAATACACTTCACGTAAATTTATCTGTTTAAGAACATACAGAAAATGTATGTCTTAATGAAAACACCCAGGGAAAAATTATATCTGTTCACGCGGTTTCCTTCAGAAGTTTCAAGTATAATACTTAAAGCTGATTTAACGTATAATAAAGTACAATACTCAAAGCTGATTTTTAAAGTTCAAATTGGTAACAAATGCCAGATATACATTGTTAACTGCTTTTGCCTTTGTTTTGAATTACTATGCAGAATCCATATTTGCTCCCAAATTATGCTCATGCATGCTTTGAAATGTATTGAGTATTATTTAATGGAAATTAATTCTAAGTGTGTGTGAGTTGCGGTTGTCACTGTGCTGTGTGGCGGAACGTAGCGCATCTGATTCCGTATAATTAATGGTACATTTTCCCGTGATTCTCCTCAGCCATCCAACTGCCTAACCCTCGTTGATGCCAATGCAGTTGCCAGCCAAAGACCAATCGGTCAGGTTAAGGAAATTTCATCCCGGAATTGAACTGTGACAGAGCCATATCGACTATCATAACCAGACTTAGGACAAATCACTTAAAAGGCATGAGGATTTCTGCAGACGGACAGGTGACAGGTGACAGCAGGACAGGGCACCCGGACGGCTTTCTATGACTACTCGGGTAT